GACTCCCCAGCAGCACACAGTCAGATGACTACTTTTTTTCTGGGCTAGTAAGAAACTAGAGGTTACCTGCTAGTGAAACTGACCAGAAAGTCTTCAAACTCAGGCACACCAGGGAGAGGTGTGGTATGAATTAAAATGGAGAGATTAACTGAAAGTCTACACTGAACTACTGGATTCCCCAACACACTTCTTCTGGTCAAGATGTACATAATCCTTCACCTAACAACTGTATTCTAGTTGTAAAGAAATTCTTACCCAGTTCCATTTGGGGAACATCTGAGGCATTTACTGCAGCATTATATGTGGAGGCAGAGATCTGAAGGCAACCCGGGTGTCCATCCCAGGGAGAATGGATAGGCAAAACATGGTTCACATACCACTTGTGTAAACTTTAAAAAAAGACATAGAAAACAATACCTAGTTTTCAAGAACAGGATTGTTCCTTATTGTAATCAAAGGATATACAATAAGCACATTAGAATGGTTACCCGTGGGGGAAAGGGTGACTAGAGTGGGATGTCACCCTTAAAATCCAGCTTACAATTTATAAGAAACATACTGAAAACCTAAGGACACAGAAAAATTGAAAGAAAAAGGATGGGAAAAGTTATACCGGGTACATACCTAGCAAAAAATCTTAAAAGGTGTGACTAGCAGATAAAATATACTAGAGAACAAATAGAATTATTAGGAATAAAGGAAGTCACAACTTAAGAATAAATTTTTAACTTCCTAGTGAAATATGTATAATTTTGAACAAGTAAGTAAGGCTGTAGAAGATTTGAGTAACATGGTTAACAAATTTGACTTAATTGACATACATTCATTTACTATAAACTCTGTACCCAACAAGCATAGAATAAACGTTTTCAAGTTTACTTGGAACATAATAAAAACTTGATCATATACTAGATAATAAGTATGTCTCAACAAATTTGAAAGAATTGAATAATACAGAATATTTTTCAGACCAAAATGAAATTAAATTAGAAATTAATAACAAAAAGGTAACTAGAAAACCCTCATTTTTTTGGAAATTAAGAAAGTATACTTCTCAAAGAAGAAACAACAGAACTTAGAAAATATTTAGAATTAAACAATAAAAAAATTACATAACAAAACGTGGACATTACTCAGGTAGTGCTTAGAGAAATTTATAGCCTTAAATCCTTAAATTTGGGGGAAAAAACCTGAAATGAGTAAGCTAACCATTTCTTTAAATAAGTTAGAAAAAGAGTAGCAAAATAAACCCAAAGAAGATTTAACAAAAGAAATAATAAAGGATGGAAATAAATGAAAAATTTAAAATACAATACATACAATAAAAGAATCATCAAAACCAAAAGTTGGTCCTCTGAAAGCCTAACACATTGGACAAGCCTATGGCAAGATTTTTCAAGGAAAAAAAAAAAAGGAAAAAACTATAAATATGTGAGAGTAGGAATGAAAAAGATGTTAGCACAGATACTATAAATATTATAAACTTTGTGCCAATAACTTTGAAAATTAGATGGAATTGACAAATTCCTACATCTATAAAATGTTCCAAAGTGACTCAAAAAGAAATATAAAATGAAAATAGTCTTATACTTTTTTTAAAAGACTTTTTTTTTTAAACTATTAATGGAATTAATAGTTAAAAATCTCCCCACAAAGAAGGCTTAAGGCACAGATAGCTTCACTGGTGAGTTTTACCAAAAATACAAGGAGCAAATAATTCCAATCTTAAACAAGCTCTCCCCCAAAAATATAAAAAGAGAGAATTCTCCTCAACTTTTTGAAGACAGCAAACTGGGCAAACTTTGTCCTAAAAACAAAACAAAAAAATCAAGGGAAATTACAGGACAATTTAACTCATAAACAGAGAAAAAAGCTAAACAAAATATAAGCAAGTGAAATCTAGCAGTGTATTAAAAGGAGGGTCAAATTATGTTTATTCCAGGAATGTAGGGTTGTTTAAAACACAGTTAATGTAATTCACTCTATTAACAGAATAAAGAAACTCAGGCTATCATCTCAATGCAGAAAGTCTTTGATAAAATTTGACATCATTCATGACAAAAAGAAAGCACTAGCAAACTAGGAATAAAAGGGAACCTCTTTTATCTGATAAACAGTTTCTACAAAAAACCAACATCAAAAGACATGCTAAAATGAATGCTGAAAGTGTTCTCTTTGGTATTAGTAATAATGCAAGAATGCCTATCAGACCATTGCATTCAATATTGCACTGGAGGCTCTAGCTGGCATAATAAAACCAAAAGAAAAAAACAGAGTATATTTAAAAGCATAAAGAATGGGAGGCAAGACAAAAGGCAATCATTATTTGCAGGTGATATAATGATTTATAGAAAATCCAAAAGAACGTGAGTACAAATTGCTAGAATTATGAACAAGTTACACAAGAAGACTACATAGTGGATTAAAATACAAAAGCAACGTGCGTGTCCAACACCAGCAACAAACTGTTAAGAAACAGAATTCAAAAAAGATACCATCTTCATGACTGTACACATTTGCCAAAAATCACTTAATTGTACACTTAAAGTGGGAGCATTTTATTGCATGTAAATTATATCTCAAAATAACTGCAGAGAAAAAAGGCACCATTTGCAACAGCAGCAACACATGCGAAGTACACAAGAATTAATTTAACATGTACAAGACCCTTCTGAGGAAAAATTATAAAGCTTTACTAAATGGCACAAAAGGATATTTAAATAAATGGAAAGACATAACGCATTCATGGAATGGAAGACTTAATATTATAAAGATGTCTGTTCTTCCCAATTTGATCTTTAGATTCAATAAATCTCTGATCAAAACTCCAACAAAATTTTATGAGGGACTCAATAAGCTGATTCTCAAATTTATATGAAAGAGCAAAGGGCAAAGAATAGACAAGACCCTCCTAAAAAAGATGACTTAATCCCTTACAGTAATTAAGATAGCATGATATTGGCATAGTGATAGACATTTTGACCAAAGGAACAGAATCAAGGGCCCAGAAACCAGACCGTGCGTATTTGCAAACTTCATTTATGACAATGGTGGCATTGTAGTTAAGTGGGGAAATGATGGATTATCCAAAAAATGGCATTGAGACAAGTTATTATTCAAATGCAGAGAGAGAGAGAAAACTGGATATTCCACATCACACCACACACAAAAATTTGTTCCAGATGAATTAAAGACATATGTAAAAAGGACATCTTCAAAGCTTAAAAAGAGAGAGAAATATCACTACAATGTTGGAGCAGGCAAGGGTTTTGTTTTGTTTTGTTTTAATTCAAATGAAAAACACTAACCAAAAAGGGAAGAGGTTAACAAATTTAACTAAAAAATGGATTACACACAAATAAGTAAAACCTACTATGGAACACAGTGGGAGAAAAGCCTATTTTTTCTCCAGGAAGAAGAAATCAATGGGAAACTGAAGGAAAAACCACCACAAAAACAGTACAGGAAAGTCAGTCCAGTTATAAAGTCAACAGGCACACTTTTGAGCAATCTGTGGTATATAAGAGAGAAGATCCCACTGAACTCTGATGAGAACAACTGCACAGGGATTGTGACACTGGAACTAAACAAAGGGTACACAGAATGACAGCACACTGCTTGACTTTGTAATGAATGGAATTAACTTAAAATGCTGTTATTTGGTTTTCAACTTTTAGATTGAGCCCTTAATAAACCTCAGAAGACTTAGTTATGATCACAGGAGAGAACAGAAATATTATCAGCTTTGATAAAAGTAATGGCACAGATGACAGAAGTTAGGAGGCGAAGGGAGAAGCAGACAGAAGGTTAAAACTTCCTTTGTTTACATAGTAGAAGTCAAAAGACGTTACAAGAAATAGAAGTTTAAAAATTACATTCAAGAGTACAAAGGTAACTGATTTTTAAAATGGTGATATAATTATGAAAAGATGAGATGGCTTGATATGTTATAAATGAGGTTGGTCCCTTACACCACAGAAGGAATTCAATAATGTCCAAAACTGATAGGCCAAGAAATGGTGCTCTGAATATATTATTTAGCGATATGGAGGTATCCATTAGGAGATCTAAAAACCCAAACAAAGCACAATGAAACTGGGGAGGATGTACTGTGTTTTGTTATACGTATTGTTGTATTTTTTCTGTATTACTGAATTTTTAATCTATATGTGTGTATTATTTTAATAAATATAAAAGTTTTGAAAATTATTGAACGAAAGAGAAAGAAAAGATCAAGAACTCTAAGAGCTCATTTAATCAAACTATGTAATTTGAGCTAGGTAAAAGAAAATTGATGTCTACTGCAACAGAAAAACTTCTAAATACCTGAGTAAGACTAATAATCAAAAACCTACCAACTTTATCTAGCAGAGTATACTTAATATCATTATTTAATTCAGAGGGAAGAAATCAGTTTAAAAGCTGAATCTTATCCTTCATTATTTCTCCTCCTCCTTACTTTTCCTCTTCATTTCTCTAGCTTTTGTGTTCCCCTCCAGCTTTCTTTTCCTTAGCAAGAATATTTAACTGAAAATAAAAATAAAACACTAGTTTTATTTATAGAGTTCAGTCTTGTGGTTCCATAATTTTCTCTCAATACAAAAAGAGCAAATTAGGTTGATTTTCATTTCCATGTGGTCTAAACTAACTTTAAAAATCTCTATGGTCATTAACTGTTGTAAAGAAGAAAAGATCTCTACTGCTGATTTAAGGGAAGAACACAAATAACAAAAGACAACCTTGTTAAACCCAGCACACTAATTACTCTTAACGTATTAAAGGGGACTGCTACATAACTTAGGCTTCAGGGCTCAGGAGCTAGGTTTCCATGCAGATATTTATGGTGATTTAAAGAGCTGAAAGCTTTAAGTATTAAGATCCCCAAAAGTAAAGTAAAAACCAGAAGGTGAAATGTTCATGTTAGGTGACATTCGGTTTTGACCCAGAAGAATTCAGCAAGGTTTCCATTTCAGTATAATCCACATCTATCATATACTTACACTATATTTGCAAGGTCAAGTGGTTTCTCTGGTTGTTCAGGAAAAACAGGATGCGGAGGTTCTCTGGTGGGTACACACCCCAAGGATTTACTAATTGCATGGCTCAGCTTCTTTGCAGGGGATTTCTGTGTCAAAGTAGAAAATATGGAAATAAGGAATTGAATTTTCAAAAGAATGAAACAGAATTTTAACTAAGTGACGAGAGCTGTAGAAAATATCTTTGCAAATACAAACTAAGTTGCATTACAGTCACCACTACTGAGCCTTGCAGAAAGGAACCTACGGTTGTTTCAAGGGGTTGTTTCAAGGTCGTTTGTGGCCCTTCGTTTCTGTCCTAACTCCCTCATTTCTACTATGCAGTCACACTATCCAGTTAGTGTTAACTTGCCTTTTGAACATCTCTGTGTGCCCTTTGCAGGAACTCCCTCTTTTGATGCTTCTGGATCATTCTGGTAAGATGTTATAGTTAATTCCCTGATCAGAGTCAGAAATTCTTGCTAGACTAAAATACTAAAAGGTTAAGATAATGCTGAGAGCTCACGGCTCTTGAATGTTAGCAAATTAGCTGACTAACCCACATCCCCCCAAATATTAAGAGAATATTCCCCAAATGAACATGAAACAGAACATTTGGTGTTAAGGGTCTGGCTATGTATACAGATACAAATGAGTGCACTCACATACACAGGCAGCATCAGATCTGTGACTCTAAATTATGATATGCTGAAGGTACAAAAATAAGTTGGCATACTAATACATTTCCTGGGAAGGTAGAACAATACACACTAAATCCAAAGACTAGCAGGCCTAAGGTATAATAGTAAATATGCACAGAAGTAAACAATATGCTACGACTAAGATATGTAGAATATGAAACCCATATTTAAAGGACACTTTTTAAAAAATTAATTAGTTTATTTATTTATTTATATTTTGGCTGCGTTGGATCTCCATTGCTGCACGGGCTTTCTCTAGCTGCGGTGAGCGGGGCTACTCTTTGTTGCAGTGTGCAGGCTTCTCACTGCGGTGGCTTCTCTTGTTGCAGAGCACGGGCTCTAGGCGTACGGGCTTCAGCAGTTGTGGCACATGGCTTCAGTAGTTGTGGCTCGCGGGATCTAGAGCGCAGGCTCAGTAGTTGTGGTGCACGGGCTTAGTTGCTCTGCAGCACATGGGATCTTCCTGGACCAGGGCTCGAACCCATGTCCCCTGCATTGGCAGGAGGATGCTTAACCACTGCGCCACCAGAGAAGGCCCCCAATTCCTTTTAAATAATACTGTTATCTGAGATTTTCTTGGCAGGATACTAGTCGCAAAAAAGTTTAAATATTTCATTCTTCTGTCTCTGCAGTGTATTACTGTAGTACTACTTTAATTAGAAAATAGACCTTGTTTGCAGCTGTGTGTCTCATCAGTAGCACATCTCCACTTAACTTTTATATGCTGCCTACATATATTTTAACAGAAAATAAGCCAAAAACTATATACCTTGTTTCTAACAGACTGAATAATACCATTCTCTTCAGAAACTTCATATATTGGCTCCAAATCACCTACCACCATCCCCTTCAACACATTAAATTCTGGGGGAAATCTATATGTAATCTAATCTCCTGAAAATTATATGAAGCTACACAAAGCAGAAATTCTGAACTTCCCCACAACTGCTCTCCATCACCCCTTTGCCCAATGACTAGCTGTAACATGACTCTGATTCTTCTTCCTCTGCTCCATCTTCTACACTGCCCCAGACATCATGCAGTCTTCTGCTTAAAATCTTGCAAAGGCTGATAATCATTTATAGACTAAGATCTAAATCCACGCCATCACAGCTCACTTAGGAGCTTTCATCTCCGGCTCCCCACTCTGTGCTCACCTCTCACCCCACATCAGCATAAACATAAGGCTGCTCAGTTAACCCAATGTACCATGTTCTCTTAGATCTCTGTACCTTGGCACGTGCCTTTCTGAGATCTCCCTTTCCCGATCTATTTCTCTTTAAATTTTCTGCTCATCTCTCAAGGCTGCTTAGTTGCAAGCCTCCCTTCCCCTATGAAGACTTTCCTCACTGCTCCGTAAGTCGGCACCCATCTTTCCCAGCTACCCGCTCGCCAAGTACACATTTCCACTGTTGCACTGTCCCAATACTATGCTGCACTTTTAAATTTACATGCCTATCTCTGTTAGACCAGTGGTCTTGAAGGGTAGGATCTACATTTTACTCATCTGTGTATTTCCAGAACCTGACCTACACCAGAATATGTTATTTGAATAAATTATTTGCCTAGATGAATTTTCTAGATTGCTTTTTCCTGGCTAAACCACATAAGCTTAATTTTTTTGAGAGTTATGATATGAGTAGGAGACCATCAGAGGACACCAGAGAATATCTTAATTCACCTTTACAACTAAACACTACATGTGTAATCCATGTACTCATTTCGTGATTTTTTGCTACATCTGAGAACCACCTGGGCCATTAATTCATGCATTCTATGTGAGATGGATTATAATAGCCATGAAATCACAGGTTTCATGTGTATATTTTACCATAAACATTAAAATAAGACTGTTAAAATAAAAAATGTTTCCCTTTGTATCACCTAATATTCTCTAGCAGCATGCTTGTTGTGCTTTCAAAAATACTGCTCCAAGTCAAGGTTTAAGATTAGATCCCATTTCAAGTCTCAAAAAGAAAGAGAGAAAGGTAACATCAATACATCAAAGCCAATTCCACGTAGAGTACATCAAGAGATGCTTGATATGTATGGGAAGGAGAAAAAGACTGGAAATAAACATATATAGGAATTATCTAAGGGCTAGGATCAAACCAAAAAGAACATTATCCTGAAAATTTAAAGATAATGCATTCAATTAGGCTGTCTAAATTGGTAGATAAATGATTTCCTTAAAAAGACCTCAATGCATGAATTACAATATGGGCCTAAAGTGATTTCATTGTGGAGCTACGTTAGGAAACTAAGATTAACTAAGTGTGTGAGCAAGAGTTCGAAAACCACTATAAGTGCCGAGACAGGGACATTACCTCTTCTGGCTACTCGGCCCCCAGGACAATGCCCAGGACTTGGTAGTCAGTCACTAAGTATTTACAGAAGTGCAGGGAGTGAGGGAGGAAGAAAAGCAATCCAGGTGTAGGGACTGGTGACTCCACACTTCGTTTAAGCCACTAGGTCAGAGATGTTCTGACAGGTCTTTGTACCTTTCCCCTCACTTGAACCCTCACACTGATATACGGGGACGCCTTAACCTAGAAAATCAGATCTCCTCCAAACCCTCTTAGGCAATGATTTTCAATCTTTGTGCATTTTCAATACCTTCATCCACTTTACCTAATTTCAAAACATTTCCTACCATCTCTTAAAAATATTACAGGTTACATAATTCAAAAAGAGACATGTACCACAATGTTCATTGCAGCACTATTTACAATAGCCAGGACATGGAAGCAACCTAAGTGTCCATCAACAGATGAATGGATAAAGAAGATGTGGCACAGATATACAATGGAATATTACTCAGCCATAAAAAGAAACAAAATTGAGTTATTTGTAGTGAGGTGTATGGACCTAGTCTGTTATACAGAGTGAAGTGAGTCAGAAAGAGAAAAACAAATACCATACGCTAACACATATATATGGAATCTTAAAAAAAAAAAAAAAGGTTCTGAAGAACCTAGGGGCAGGACAGAAATAAAGATGCAGACGTAGAAAATGGACTTGAGGACACAGGGAGGGGGAAGGGGAAGCTGGGGCGAAGTAAGAGTAGCATGGACATATATACACTACCAAATGTAAAATAGATAGCTAGTGGGAAGCAGCCGCATAGCACAGGGAAATCAGCTCGGTGCTTTGTGACCACCTAGAGGGGTGGGATTGGGAGGGTGGGAGGCAGACGCAAGAGGGAGGGGATATATGTATACATAGAGCTGACTCATTCTGTTATACAGCAGAAACTAATAACATTGTAAAGCAACTCTACTCCAATAAAGATGTTAAAAATAAATAAATAAAATAAAGTAAGGTCACCTTGGAAAAAAAATTACAGCTTACATTAAAAAAGAATACTTCAGCAGGAGGGAAGACATATGGGAACATATGTTTATGTGTGACTGATTCACTTTGTTATAAAGCAGAAACTAACACACCATTGTAAAGCAATTATACCCCAATAAAGATGTTAAAAAAAAAAAAAAGAATACTTCAAAAGTATATAAAATGTGGGTGTACAGTCTAAAAAGTGATAAAACAAATACCCATCTACCCACTATTCTGCCTGAGAAATATACCATTATGGTCACTTGGAAGCCTGGCTGTGAGCCCTTATCTAATACAGCCCACTCCCACCATACCTGCACCTCTCCTGGTTATCAGTATCCTGGATTTTGTACTAATCATTTCCTTGATTTTACTATTTTAGCAATTATGTACTCTAAAAAATACATGATTTATTTAATACATGCTTAAAACCTATATAGATTTACATATATATTTTTTCTGCAACTGGCTTCTTTTACTCAAGATTATGTTACAATTCATCCATGTTGATGCATATGTTGATAAAATTCACTCATTTTTTCATGGCTTGATTGTATTTCATTGCTCAGTTACATCATAATTTATATATTTGGGTTGTTTCCCTTTGTTCCCTCTCAGTCACAATGCTGCTATAAAACTTTCTTGTCCGTGTCTCCTGCTGGCCATATAAAAGAATTTCCTAAGAGTGGAATTACTGGGTCATAAATTATGACATTCAGTGTTACTAGGCACTGCCAATTTGCTTTTACAAAGTGGTTACGCTAATTTCCACTCCCATCAGCTATGTGAGGGACTTCCTGACTCTACATTCTGGCCAACCCTTGTTACAGTCAGACGTTCTAACATTTGCCAATCTGGTGGGTGACAAATGTTATTGGGCTTTTAATTTGCAATTCCCTTATTACTAGAAATATTGAGCATCTTTTCCAATGTTTATGGGCCATTTGTATTTCTTTGTCTGTGAAATGCCTGTTCCTGTCTTTGGCGTAGTGTTTCACTGGGTTTGTCTTTATCTTACTGATTTGTAAGAGTTCTATGTATTTTTGTATTTTAACCGTACAGAAGTTATATCT